ATTCAATCTCTATCAATATTGATTGACTGTGCACCAAATCTTTAGTTGCTTAGTATATTTAATATCTTACTAATGATTAAAATTCAAATTACGGGTACTTTCATGTAAAAATTTTCCATTTCCCTATCTCCAAAAATTAAATGTACTTCTTTACTAAAAATACGTGGCAGAGAGGATGCATCTAATAAAGGGGGGAGTTTGTTGGGGCTTTCCTTGAGTCAAAGGTTGGATTGAAGTGATTGGTAGTTTGGTACTATAACATTAATTAATGCAAAAAAAAGGGATGAGACTATGTAATGGGGTTGAACTTGAACTTGACAATTAACTGAATGGAGAGGAGAGACGTGCAATTTCCATCAACCTCAACTCAGTCAACCCTAAGATTTTTGTTGCTTCTTTTGATTGTCTTTTTTTTTTTTTTTTTTTAATCTTTTGTATTTAAAAGCTACATTACACTATCAAAAAATAATTTTTAGTGACATAAATTTATAATAAATTTTAAAATCATCATTATAATTTATCATAAGTATGATAGATTTAAAAAATTACTTACAGATACATACATATTTAATGATAGAGAAAAAAATTCATCATAAAAAATATATTTCGTCACAAAAAAATATTCATAAAAATAAAATAAGTTTTTGTCAATAAAAATCATAACTATAATACATTACAATTACGATAAAATTCTAATATTAGTCACATATACCTTACCCATTCAATGATGACCAAATAATTCATTACTAAAAATTGTCAATTTTCTCTGATCAACGCATCCCATATCGATAAAAAACATATAAGAAAATAAGGTTTTGTATTATAAATATATCCCACATCGATGAGAAATATTTAAGAAAATAAATTTTTACACTATAAAACATGTGAAACTCAATAAAACTTAATATTAGTTTGGACTTGATTAATTTTAGTCGGGCTTGATTAATTTTAATCAAAATTGATTAGTATTGAAATAATAATATTTTTTATTAAACTTTTGTGATAAATTTATATATTATTTTTTTGTGACAAAATTTTTGTTACAATATTTGTGTTATAATTATATAAATATCTTTTTTATTTAATATCAATTTTAATAATTAATGACTAAATTTTTCATCACAATTGCATCTGTGACTATTTTTTGTTACTCAATTGTAACATTTGTGATGAAAATTATTGTAACAAAAAATATTTTTTTGTGACGAATAAAATTGTTATAAATAACTTATTAACAATGTCAATTTTTTCTATCACTATAAGATTATTTCTTGTGACATGTGTCTAATTTGTTATTAAGAGCATTAGTGACAAGGGTTCTACTAACGGTTTAAATTTTATCACTAATAATAATTTGTGACAAAAAATAAAAATTTAAATCATTTAATGATCAATAATTTAGTCAATAAATGTGAATTTTCTTGTAGTGTTAATCCGATTAATTTAAAATTAAGTTACATTAGATTTTATAAAATAAAAACTTTCTCAATATTTATTTTTTCATTCAGAATATTTAAACTTAGGATTTTATTTAAAAAAATCAAATTTTTTATATTTAAATCAATAAGTTATTGGTTGTTTTGAATGTTTGTTGTTGAAGGACACTTCATTCCTTGTCTATTAGTATGGGCGCACATGTGTGTATAACATGGAGTATATTTCAACATGCAAATAAGTAAAGAATTTGTTTAATATATGTCTTCAAAATGATAGATTAAATATATTTTTTAGATATTAATTTATATAAAAAAATAAAAAAATAAAAAGACAAATTTTAGTACCCACATGTCATGTGTATATTTTTAATTGAATAATTAATAACATTGATGTAAATTTTTATTTTTTTAATATATATTAATAATAAAAAATAATAATAAATATACTCTTAAGATGTACAAAAAAAAAAAAAAAAACTATCGTTAATACCTAGCTAATTAACTTTATAATTAATATTGTTGGGTATACACGTACATTCGTTTAATTTCAATGAGCCGGACATGATTTCTTTGGAAAAGGGATGCTCATTGTAGTTGAATTCTCTGTTACGGGGACAGTTTGAAATGCAAAGCAACTTGCCTTCCTTTTAAAAAAAATAATAATAAATTTCTTTGGAAAGAAACACTAAACATTTTTTCCACATGCAGGTGGGAAGTGGAATTTTCAAAAAAGAATTTTGTGGAATTTGGCATTTTCACACCTTCAATGGATAATATTAAAGTAAACCTTTTCTCTTCTTTTTTTTCAGCTAAAATGCTGTATTGGGTCTATTGCCTAAAAGAAAGTCGTAAGGGAATTGAATTAATGAATTCCCAAGACTTACTTTAAGAAGTCTTCGAAACCCTTTTCATACCTTAACGTCGCCAAGAAGATAGAGAATTTGATAATTTGGTCTTTTAGAAAAGAAATTCTAAACCAAAAAAAAAAAGAAGAAGAAGAAATTATTAGTTTCATCAATAATGCATGAACTCTTGTTGTCATGACAGAATAGCTTTGTTATATATAAGTAGATGGTTTGGAATTGATGAGCTTGTGGGATGATTGTATTCATAGTAGCCTTGTAATTTTGTAAGTTTGGAATCTATCTTGTACTTTTAATTAATAAATGTGTTTTTTTATTACATTAAAAAAAAACTTTGTCATAATATAAATAAATAAATCTCAATTTTAACTGTTATTTTGATTTATAAACTCTCTTCATTACAAAACCAAAAAAGGCAAAGCTACTCATAGAATCTTTCATTCCTCCCTTTATGATCTTTTTGATTTGACAATTAGACTTAGGGTGTATGTATAGAAATCAAATTCCATATGGATTCCCTTTTTGAATTCCAATCACCTTTTGGGTTTGCGCCCTTATTGGTGAAACAACTTGCCCTCAATGCATTGTGGGAAGGCATCAACTAGAGTAAAGTAAGGTGGTCCAATATATATATAGGGATAGTAGGGATCAGTTTACATAAAATTTTAGACATTATACTTATATAAAATTTTAATTATTCATTTTTTAATTTTAATAATTGATATTTATTCACATTTACTAAAGATGATTACTTTTTTATTTAAAAAATTGTGATAAATCTCAATCATTAAAAATAAAAAGATGAATGCTTGAAATTTTGTATAAGTAGAATTTGTAAATGAATCCCCCCTCATATATATATATATATAAATAAAGAGAAAAAGCTTAGTTTTATACACTATTTTTACATAAAATCATAATCATTCATCTATTTACTTTTAATAATTAAGATTTATTTATTTTTTATCATATTTATTAAAGATAATTATATTCTTTATCTAAAAAGTCATAAAAAAATCTTAAAAATTAAAGGTGAAAAAATAAATAGATAAAATTTTGTGTAAGTATAATATAACATACTATATATATATGATTAGTGTTTATTTGCTTTATGTCTTAAAAATTAAAAAAGTTACTTTAAAATTAAGTTGTTTTAATAAAGTATCACAAAAAAAAAAACCTAAAAATAATTTAATTCATATTTTAAAAATAAGATATTTTATTTTGTTTAATTAGAATTTATTGAAACCATGTAGTTTTGGGTTGATTTTCCAATTAATTTTTATAAAATAAGGCAAATTGGCATCTTTTTTCTATATACGTATATATAAAGTGGTTTGTTTACGCATAATTACTAACAGGTTGTTAGGTTAAGACATGATTTAATTGGTGGTGACATTTTACTAAAAAATCAAATTATTCGAGTTTAAGTCAAAAACCTTGTCATCTCTTTAACATTATTTTGTAGTAGCTTGTATCACTTTTGCAAGGCGTGGAGCACATTGTTATTTTATAAACAGGACAAAAAATGGAAATTAATATCAATATTCAACAACCAACACCAACTGTCAAAAGAAACTCATCTCATTACCATTGACAAAGAGATTTTATTTATCTAAAATTAAGTACATAAAGTAATAATTAGATGATCAATTGAGTGACGTAGTGCCTATGATATGATCTCTCCGATTAATTGAGAAAGATAAGGAAGCAGGGCCCTCACGCCATCTTATTGAGGTAACTTTTCAAAGATTTGATGGTGCTTTTCTTCCCAATTTGGTTTACCATAAGATTTGCTTAAATAAAAAGTTATGGTGTAAGGTTACCAGAGTACTCCAAGGTGAGTAAACGAGACACAATTTTTTTGGTACATTTGAACTAGCTACTTTAGAATTGTGGAGTTTATTTTAACCTTAGACAAAGTTTTTTTATGGCACATTAGAGATTAACTGCATAAACCCCTAATCTTGATCCCTAAAATTTTTAAGTTTATAAATGTCAATTCAATTAAACTTTCAATCTCGTTAAAAAAATTCATAAAGTTTATTCTTACATTAGATGATAAGAGAGATCTTAACTAGCAACCGGGCTCTAAGCAAAGCGGTTTAGGGTGAATGCACCTGAGTTCGTGTCCCAAATCTCCCTTCTACAAATTGTAACACTTTTCCCAAAAGAAGGAGAAGAAGAAGAAGGAGAAGAAGAAGAAGAAGAAGAAGAAGAAGAAGAAGAAGAAGAAGAAGAAGAAGAAGAAGAAGAAGAGATGCTCTACGCTCAGTTGCTCACACTCGGTTAACAAGGATTAGTCCTCAAAGTCCAACCCATTAAATTAGAGCCCAATCAATTTCTGACTTACATTTAACTTTTATGCACTAGTTGCCTGAAGGGTCAAGAATTGGACATTTCCCCATTGTTCGGTCCGGCCCATTTAGTTGCCTAACCTTGATCCTTGATCCAATTTCATGGAGGGTTAACTCTTTTTTTCTTCTTTCCTTTTAAGAAAAGGAAAGTAATGTAGCTATGGCATGGATTTTGATTTCATAACTGTATAACGACTTCAATTTTAAATTAAAGTTTTGAAATTATTACTAAAATTATAATAATCTTTTTCCCCATAAGAGAGCAAACAAGTGAGAATAGGAGTGGAAATGAGGGTAGGAGGAAGAAAGCAAACACATAAGACATTCAACAAAGTATCAATTATAACACAAAATCAGAGGATATAAAATCCACTTAAAAACAAGGATAACAATCCTTATTCCCACATACTTTAGAGAGTGCTTTACCCTCCCACCGAATACCTAAAAAAAGGAAAAGGCTAATTAATTAAAATGTACAAAGGTAGCTTCCATCATCACTCCTTGCAGTTGGGTCAAAGTTGGGCAACCTTCAGGAACAGGAACGTTCATTTGCTGGGCAGCTTTTCCTGCACAGGAAAATAATCAAACAGTTGGTGGTCATTGCACTTTGCTTTGGTTTTGATATACACACCTTCACTTTGCATGAAAGCTAGATGCAAACCTCTGGGATCAAGGGATCTAACGGTAGAAAATTCCACTCTTGATGGCATCTTCATTGGCCTCACCAAGAGCAGCCTCGCTCAAGTACTTGTCGGCTAATTGGACTCTCTTCACATTCTCTTGTTCAGCCACCAGCATGTTTCCATACTCCAGGAGCTTCTCGATTGTCATCTTGGGTTGGTCGAAGGTTGGTGGTCCTTCCAAAGAGTTCACCAGCTTCTTTCCAACGGTGTCGACTCCGACACCGCCAATCCACTTTCTCACTTCGTCATCGTACACTCTGGCCCTCACGGCACCGAAGAAATCTGCAAAACACTCGTTGAGGTATTTCGTCGAACAGTTCATAGACATAATCTTTACCAGAGTATTGTTGTCTCACCGATGGATTGGCCGGGGAAGGTGTCGACGAGCTTGACAATGTCGTCATCTGCGACATTGTCACTCCTGAAGATACCCTTGCAGACACCAATACGGTCGTCACGGGTGGGTGCCCAGTAGAACTTCTCCATACGACCGTCACGGATGAGAGGAGCGTAGAGGGTGGAGAAATCGTTACCGGTGACAATGATGGGGACACGGGGGTTCTCCTCCTTGTTGTACATTCCCGGAAGTTGCACGCATGTGGGGTTATCGGCGATGTTCATGAGAGTGGCGTTAACCATCTGGTTGTTAACGGTGTACTGGGTGGTTCCACCGAGACGACCAGCTCCTGCATCAAGATCGTTGATGAACAGGCAGCACATCTTACCCTTCCTGATGATGTCGGCAGCCTCACGGTACCTTTGCCTGATCAACTTGGCGGGTTCACCGGCATTTCCACTTTCCAATTCTCCAGCACTCATCATGATTGGGCTGAAAATTCACATCAAAACACGAACTTTTCAGAAGAAAATCAAGCATATGTATAACCCCATTAAAAAAAAAAAAAAAAAAAAAAAAGGGGGTACAAATTCAATATCAATGAAGATTGTACTCACTTAATTCCCATCTTTGCAAAGACAAGCTCACATTGGAAAGATTTTCCCTGACCTTTTCCTCCCCAGATACCCAAGATGAGAGGAACCTGCTCAAATTCATCATGAAATTAAATTGTTCATGTTTCTAATATTTCTGTACATTCTACATTTATACGTGGAGAATTGGAGATGATTAAGTTCTTAATATCTATATACCTTGATGTTAGGGAGGGACATGAAGTTCTTGGTGATGTGAACAACAAGCTTGTCCATGAAAGCAGGGGCAATGTAAAAACCATCCATGTTGTTGTCCAAGTTATATCTAAACGTCCGTAATCACGCATGAAATGGTGATTGTATAAAACGAGCAAGATCGAGAACTCTTTCATCTAGAAACTTAATTTTTAAAGTCAATTTGATTATACTTACGTGCGGAGCCCTTGGCTCATGTACTCATAGGAACTCATGACGGCGTAGTGGGTTCCATCTCCCATGGGAGCCTGGAACAGAGTGTCCACCATACCCTTGCCTCTGGTGATGTCCTGTTGGTCGTCAGAGACATCATAAGCAAGGCCTTTCCACTTGTCCTTGTCAGTCTGCTGCGACTCGTCAATCTCTGCACTTTCTGCGCAAACCTTGAAGCTCACTGGAGCCTTGTTGGCGAATCTCGGGCTCACTTTCTTCAAGCTGATGCCAAAGAAAGCTGAGCTTGGAACTGCAGCTGCCGGACCAGAGCTCAACTGTTTGCATGCATCAAGTAATTATATCACTATTAATTACTACTTAATTCCAAGAAACCAAACTAATTAAAGTTTAATATATCATGTACCAAGCAAGGTTCAAATCTGAGGATTGAATGGAAAATAAAGGCCTTCATTTGCATCTAGAAACTATATATATTGCAAATTTGTCTACAAAATAAGTATGCATCCATGTAAGCCTGCAAACCTATGCCTATGCCTATGAATGGAACATAATTAACATAAAGTTTCCAAATACACTTGTATAAATCTTACATAAATAATCAATAATTGATTTTCAAATTCAATAAATTTACATATATTACCAAATATAACATTATCACAATAATACTTTATGTAAGATTTATCTGTACACATGAAAGTTTTAATGCTTAAATTTATGTTAGTATATTTTTTTTTATCTTGGTTGTATAATAAGCGTAATCATCTCTTTTTCCTTATTTCATTTTACTCATATGTCATGTAATTCAAACTCAACATCTTTTATTTTTAACGAAAAGAGACAGACGATTGTGCTATTTACGTCGTTGGCAAATTCATGTTAGCATTAGTATAAAAGAATTAAGCTAGTTAGGGGAGAAAGAGTACCGGTGCTCTGTTGACAGCGCCAATGGTGGGGACGGCGGCAGCCATCGTGGAAGAACGGCGGTGGTCGAATGAAAGTGTGAAAAGAGAAAAGCAGCTGAATTGGAGAGTGTCCCTTGAGTAGAGGAGATGCAGAATGGAGGTGAGGGAAAACTTATAAACAGTAATTGTTCGATAACGTATGTGAGGATTGTATTCTGAATCCTCGACCGCCACAGAATCAAGATTGCCAGGCTGCCACGTGGTAGATGATGAGGTGCTTAGAGTTTGAACCATCTCTTTGGTCCTTGCGGCTACGGTTTAAGGATTTTTCTTTGCCACTTAAAATTTGGTTTTGCTTATTACGACGCATGCTCTGAAACTGAAAGTGTTTCTTGTCTTAACTGTGAAATATTTGTGTTTTAAATATTTTTTCTCTGGAGAAGAGATAATTGGAGGTGTGGATTGAAAAAAATGTTTGTGATTTCCATTAATTTCATTCATTTTTGTTCATATTTTTGCTGAACGAAATTGATTAACTAATGATGTTGGTTGATAATAAATCCTCATAATTTAATATGATAATAATTTTTATTTAATAAAATATATAAATTAATATATATATTTATTTAATGTTATATCACTGTCATGAAAATTTATTGTTAACAAATCGTTGAAAAAGAATTATTGTGGCACTTGCGGCTTCGGCTGCGTTGGAAGTGCATCATCATTTTAGCGTCTATGTCAAGGGTTTTAGCTGCCATTGCTGCAGCAATATTATACCTACTCTCCTATCCCTCAATTTCCCACTGATCAAAAAAAAAGAAAAAAAGAAAAAGAATTATTGTGGAGTGTGGAAATATGAGGGGTGAGTGTTACATATCAGTGGGACATGGTACACAACACAGCATATTCTGAAAGCCATGAACCTCTAAAAAATCTATTCTCATGAAAATGAAATTTATCAATAATTCTGTGTGACTGTCAGGGGCTGTACTTGCCACCAAATCTTTTATCCTGAGACATCATTTTATCCTGTAAACTCATAATTCAAGTGTGTATGCTCTAATCTCCTCTCACCCCAACACCCCACCACACACCCCCCCTCCTTCCCAAACACCTCCTAAATATTAAAAAAAACAGTTGTAAGGTTGAAAGATTCAAACTGTAGAATCTCTTCATGATATCACAGTATGTCATTTAATCACCTGATTGGACCAAGTTCTCAAGTTCTTATTAAATTGTGGTATGTCGAATGCCCTTCTTGTATTTTCTATACCCTCCTAGTCCCTCTTGACCTCTGAAGCCCAAAACCTGAGAATTGCAAAACTGAGATGTATCAGCCTAACAATATAACTTTGTAGGAGACCCCCCTGGAATCTGGATCTGGCCCAACGCAATTGTATCTTTCTGAGGTTTAAAAAAAACACAATATTTTTTACACATGGAAGACAGTCATAATCAGAAGCTTAATAATTGAGAAATTCAAAACCTAATCCAATGCTGGCTGTATTGAGTCGATGACAGCTCAAACTTTCTAGAAAGATAAAATAGTTCAGAAATGCAATCTTACCTTACAGGACTTAATAAATCACCAAAAACTACAGTACTGTTGAATAACGAGCACATGTTAAGACTATGGAGAAAACAGAAGAGCTCTAGTAGGCAAATTGCCTAGCTTTCCAGATGGAAAGGAGTTGTTTGTTGAGATAATTGATCATCCATGCCCGTGAAAGGGAAAGACACTATCATCGTTAAACTCGAAAGCCAAAAAAGGCAAAAGCTCCCTCCACCTTCATAATTCTCATGCATGACTTTCGCAGCAAACAAAACAAAGTGGGAATTCATGTCATTGAAGACAGCAATATGTGTCTCTCACATTTTTCACTTTCACTTCTAGAGCCATGCAGCACAAAAATAGACGAGCAAAAAAGTTCCGAGCACTCACATTGCTACTGTTGTTGATGTGCATCTGAGTTTCTATGAGTTACTGGAAAACAGCATGACCTGATTAAATGTGAGAATAAAATATGAAGAATGATGGAGAAGCAACACTAATCAACTTTAAAGTAGAATTGAAAACTGCATAATTATTGAAAATTACCATGTCTGGACAAATGACTGCCTTGAATCATGCGGTGTAATTAGTTCTAATCCCTATGCTATGACACTTTTGGATGTAATTAAGCAATCTAAATTTGTTCGTATTAGCTAAAAGAGCAAAGTGTCAGCCGCAATATTGCTCCCACCTATTAGCCTATGGAGGCTTTGATCCTGACAGTAAGAATAAAGTATTTCCCACAACTTCATTATTAACTCTTCATGGAGAAAACGATGCAGATAAGATAAGTTGATTGAAACAGACCAATAAAAGATGATTTATATCATCTATGAAACCTCCCATCTCCTCAGGTTAAATGGGTATGGCCGGATGAGTTCCTAAGCAAACAAAATAATAGTAATGACTTCTTGGCTGTCTTGTGGGCAAATGCTCGGGACTCTTTGCTTTATAAGTAATCATTGAGATCTGTATACAGAAGAAAGAAAAACAAATTAAATGATATTAGCAGTTGCAGAATCTTTCTGCAAATGGAAATATTTTAACAGGTTAGCGACCTTCCAGAACTTGTCTGAACTGCCATATGAGGAAGGAATAGGTTAATATGTACTTGACTACAGGATGGCATTATTAATTAAGAGAGCCATATCTAATAGTTAGAGCTTAACTAAAAATATTAAGATAAAAGTCTTCTGCCCAACAGCCATGCTTATGAATAATCTTTATTAACAAAAGGCCGTTTTAAGGCATAAAATAGGAAAACTTTCCCAATTTAATAGTGACAGTGTAGGCCACAAAGGAGACCCAAAAGCACAAACTTTCAGCTAAAGTTGAGTATATCCCTCGGGTTCAACAAAAGGAATTTCCTCACCCCCTTTTTAAGTGATGGTTTTAAAGAAGAGTGAATCTTGAAACTTCTTGTTCTTAAGTAAACCAGCCATACATAGTTCTACTGGTGTATCTTTGATACAGATAAGTAAAAGCTCAGGAAAATGACAGGGCTTGGCTCATCATGTGGAGCATGCAAGTTCCTGAGGAGAAAGTGTGCAAGCGAATGTGTTTTTGCCCCATATTTTTGCTATGATGAGGCTGCAGATCACTTTGCAGCAGTGCACAAGGTGTTTGGTGCCAGCAATGTGTCAAAGCTGTTGTTGCACCTACCAATACATAACAGAAGGGATGCTGCCCTCACCGTAGCTTATGAAGCACTGGCTCGAATGCGAGACCCCATTTACGGCTGTGTTGCTCATATCTTTGCTCTCCAACAACAGGTTCCCACACTGCTACTGCAATATCTTCGATACCCATAAAATTAAGCTGAATTCAATGAGTTTAACTGTTAACAAATTAATAGTGCATTAATTGTGTTGCAGGTTGCTCATCTACAAGAAGAGATAGATTCTCTTGTTAATCAAATGGCCAATCTTCCGGTTGGGATTCCAAGCTATGGAAATCCTCAAGCAACTGCTTATTCAGACGGAATGTTACAGTTTACTACACAACATGGCACCACGGAATCACCCTGTCACCCGGATCAACAACTTGCGTTGCCCATCCACCCAGAGTATATAACTGAAATCCAAACTCTTGATTGGCAAATAAATAAACCAGTTGCAGCTCCCACTTTGTACAGACAGGAAGACCAAATCTCTTTCTGTAACTTTGATCCAAATCCTCCTCAGAGAAACTTTCAAGGGTTGGAAACTGACAGCATCACTGCAGCATGGCAAGGTTTAAGCTGGTAGCAAGTTCTAAATTATATAATAAGCTAAAGCCTAGAGGTCCTGCAATATGAAAACTTCAGCTAGGAATGTCTAACAAATTTTGCACCAGGCATGATGTCATTTATGTTAGATGATTCTTCTGATGAAATGAATGTATATACTTTAGTTTCATTTCCAACTAATTAGCCTCTTAGTTCTGATACATCTGATCTCATGCATGGAAAGACTTGGGATCATACATATCCAGGAAAATAAAGTCAGTCAGAGATTCAATATCAATGGCCACAGTAGGTCAAAATGCAACCAAATTTGATTTTCTTAAAAGAAAATGCGACAGCACCGTATTGGAGACATTGTTGCACAGTGAAATGATTATGCCAGAGTCATGTGATTTGCATGCCCAAAAAAAAAAATGCTAAGAAAAAGTGGTCCTTGTAGACAAACTCTTGGTGAAGCTTGAAATGATCTCCAAGTAGCGTCTCCTCCCTGTCTTGAGTACTACAGTAAAAATAAAAAAAGAAAAGAAAAAATTGCTGTAAATGATAAAAATAGAAATTAAAATTAGGCATAAAATTCCATTTGGTAACTCTATTTTAAAGACCAAAATCATCAGAAGTGAGTTGCGATAGAGTAAAGCATGCCAAGTCATTAACATAGGAAATGTATTAAAATGCATCATATTTGCTGAACAATAACACTCACAACTGGTTTTAAAATGGCGAAAAGGTATATTGCCCCTTGTACTTTTTGATATTTTGCAAAAAAGTACAATGAGAAATTTCAATAGAATCCAAAAGTACAAGGGGCAGTCTACCCTTTTTGCCTTTCAAAAATAGCACGTGGGAAGCTCACTAATACTTCAAATTGCGCAATTTGCCTGAATTTTCATAGAAAAGGGAGCTTTATAGAGGAAAATATCCTTTATAGCAGGAAAAGATATCATTAATAATGGCCGAAATAGACAAAATTCTACTTAGGAATAATGAAAGCTCCTTATAAAGAGTAATCATAACAAAATTATCTTCCAATTAAAAAAAAAAAAAAAGAAAACAAAAACAAAATTATCTCGATCATATATGTATCCAAACCAGAAAACTGTGGGTAAGCAACTCAGGCAGGAAAAACAAGCAATCTCACGAGCACCATTCTCTGGCATTCTGGAACATGCGCAACCATGGCTAGGGCCTTTCTTGTCTACATCCCAATGCTTGAGGTACCAAGGAAACTGCCACATCAAGAAGCAACGCTCTGGATGAGGCATCATGGCTAGATGTCTGCCATCAGGTGAACAAATTGCTGCCACACCTAATGGTGAGCCGTTCAAGTTGAATGGGTAAACCTCTGTTGGGTTCCCTTCTTCATCACAATATCTTATGGGGGCTAAACCTGAATGCAAAATTCTATCCAGAACACCGTTGTCAGGGAAATATGCTCTTCCCTCACCATGGGAAGCCCACACACCTAAAGTACTACCCTCCATTCCCTTGAACATTATAGCCGGAGAGTACTTTATAGTAACACTAGTGAAATGGCACTCAAATCGTCGTGATTCATTGTGAACAAATCTTGGTTGTGATTGATCCCCACCAGTGCCAAATACACCACCAATCTGAGGGCCTGGGATCCAACCTAAAAGGGCCATTAGCTGACAGCCATTGCAGACACCAAGACTGAAGGTATCTGGCTGCTTATAGAACTCCTGAAATTGATTTATAAGAGGCTGATTGAATCGTATGGAAGCAGCCCAACCTTGTGCAGAATCAAGCACATGAGCATAGCTAAATCTTCCAACAAATACAATTCCATGGAAATCATGCAGAGAAATTACGCCTGTGAGAAGGTCTGACATTGTAACATCCCATGGCTCAAAACCAGCAGCATAAAATGCTGCTGACATTTCCTGGTCTCCATTGCTGCCCTCCTCTCGAATCACAGCTACTTTGGGTTTTGATGTTGCCTTCATGTATTTCTCATCTGTAAATGAAGGAGTGAAAGATAATTTCCATGAAGGTTCATGCCTAAACTTTAACCCTTCTTTCTCCAGTTCCACACAAGAAGCTAGTCTTTGGAGCTTCTCTAGCTGAAAACTAGTGTCCTCCCACATGTCTCTAAGGAGAGAAGTTTTTTCATCCAAATGAGAAATCCCATCAACCTTTAGTTCTATCACGGGTGAGGCCATTACTTGTCCAATTATCTTAGCAGAAATATCTGCATGAGCAAGTTTCCCCATCACAGTATCCAAGTTATCCTTACTGATCTCAGGAACAAGACCAAGTTCTTCTGCAAACAGTGTTTTGAAGACATTCTTCCCTTCTGAAGACAAGTTCAGTGCAATGCCACAATTTCCAGCAAATGCCATCTCCAGGGCACATACCAGTTGCCCACCATCACTGATGTCATGATCAGCTGAGATTAGAGCATCACCCAGAAGGTCCTGAACAGCCTCAAAAACTCTCTTAAGGTAAGGAACATCATCAAGATGAGGACAATCATTCCCAATTTGGTCAAAAACCTGAGCCAGAGCAGATCCACCTAATCGCCGCTTTCCCCTTGCCAAATCAATGTGAAGCAAAACACCATCATCTCCCAGCTTAAGATCAGGAGTTGCAACCTTTGTTATGTCAGGACAAGTGACACAGGTACTGATTACAAGATTTCCAGGAGCCTTAACAACCTCACCACCTGCATGAGCAGCCATGGATAGACTATCCTTTCCCCCATCAATAGCAATACCCAGTTTGATCATAGCCTCTGAAACAGCTGTAGCAGCATCATACATATCTGCCCCTTCCCCATCAAGCTTGGCAGCATACATCCAATTCACACTTGCTTTAACACCAGAAAGAGAAGTTACCTTTGACCAAAAAAGATTTGTGAGAGCTTCCCCAACAGCCAATCTTGCCATTGCTCTTGGATCAAGCAAACCCTTGATTGGCTGCTCCCCAATGGCACATGCACCTCCACTAAAGTCCACATAACTTTGTGTGCAACATCAGAAAGAGCTAGTTGCAATGGACCAACAGTTTGCTGCTGACTGTTGTGCTACAAGGCCTGTTACACATCTATCCACTTTTGTGGTCAAGAAGCGTTTTGAACAGACAGATGGAAGTCTCAATACCCTCTTCAAAGAATCCATCACTGTGATTTCTGGTGCAATATCAAGTGGCTCTCGGGCATGAGCGACCCGATGGAATTCAAAGCTTTTCTGAGGCATGTTCCCAAGCACTTTCTCAAGCTCAAGATCCACAGCAGGAGGAGGGGGAGAGAGTCCACTGGAATGGCATTTCTCAACAGCTAAGCTATCAACTAGAACAATGCGTCCCTTCCCATTAATTGTTCCAATAACAGCCATTGGGAGCCTTTCCCTTGCACAGATTAATTCTAAATGTTTGAGGCTTTCAGGCTTCACCAAGATGGCATCTTGTTCTTGATACTCTGCACCCCATATCTCCAGAACACACATGGTGTGATCACCGACAACAACTGCCCAGATATCAATCTCAGCACCCTGTGGTTATATAATTTCCTTAAAAACATTACAATTCCCACCAGCTCCCTGATCATGAATGCTGATAATTGGGTTATTCTCCTCCATTTCTATGCATGCACAAACCACATGATACAATTTCTGTGCCATCTCAGCATCTCCGCGTTGTACGGCATTGAAATCAAGGTCTGCATTGTTTTGACCACTAACCATGCTCGATGCAGCCCCACCTGCCATCCCAATGCGATATGCAGGGCCACCAATTTTCACAACAAGCATGCCAATGTCAGGTTCCCCTTTTGATATATGACAGTGATCAATATGTCCAATTCCACCACTGAACATGATTGGTTTCAACCATTCCCGTCTTTCACCACCTGGGAGTCTCATTCCAAAAGTTCTAGTGAAGCCCTGAATCAAGGGCTGTCCAAATTTGTTCCCATAGTCAGAAGCACCATTGCTAGATTCAATTAGTATTTCCAGAGGAGAAGCCAGGTTTGATGGATAACTAAAAGATGGATCCTCCCATGGTGCATAAGCGCCTCCTAACCGGAGATTTCCAATCACATAACCAGCTGTGGATCCAACCACAAAAGACCCCCTTCCAGTAGCATGCATATCTCGAATACGTCCACCTGCACCAGTTTCTGTACCAGGGTAAGATGCCACTGCACATGGAAAATTATGAGTTTCAGCCGTAAACAAGACATCAATTTCCTGGGTTGTTTCACTTAATGGGCAAGCTGTTCTGGGCTGAACTGGTCTCAATCTGTATGCAAGGAAGCCCTTAATTGCACTAGAATTATCCTTGAAGCCAATGACGGAGTTGTTAGGGTTCGCTTGCAAAGTGGTCTTCAATCTGCATAAGGGTCCTATCCATGGGCTGTCCATCAATAACAATTTTTCCGGTGAAAAACCAGTGCCTGCTGTGCTCACTGTTTGACCGTGCAATATCAAACACTTCAACATTAGACGGGTTCCTTTTTATGTCCTTCTTAAAAAGTCTAGTGTAATACTGCAAATCCTGTTCATCAAATGCCAGACCCATTTCCTGATTAATTTCCTACAATGCTTCCAGGCCCCTCTCCATGACAGGCACAAAACAAATTTCCTCTGGAACTACATTGGTCTCAAATGATGCCAGCCTCTGGGCATAAAGACACTCTGTCATCAGATCATGAACCATTGCAGCAAATTCATTAATATGACTTTCCAGCAACACTCCCTTGCTGTATAACAAGTACCTCCTAGACCTCTCCAAGCGGGTCACCTCTGTTAATCCACATGATCAGCAAATAGAAACAGCATTTGAGGACCAGGCTGTTGTAAAAGAAAGCCTGGGTCCAACCTCAACAATTGTGGCACTTAACCCTTCTTGCCTCTTGTTCTCAAGAAAACTCTCTGTTCCCAGATTCTCAGGCTCATAAGTTTCACCTAAAATCCACCTAGGGATAGCAAATTTCTCAGGTGAAATCTCAGAATCGAGCCCTATATTGAAGCATTGCTCCGTTTTCAAACCAACAATCTGATTTGATATCTTTGTTTGATCTGACTTGAGCAGCTCGTCATTGGCACTTTCTTGAATCAATGGGACTCGGAAAAAATGTATGATTTTCTGAGCAGGCTTTTCAATCAAGTTCTGAGGCTCATCCACTAAACTACCAACATTCCCAGATACCGCCACTCTGTGCTTTGATTGAGCAGAACACCTCAAAGAAACACCTCTACTATTAGACACCTGCAGTCTCGGGCTTGGATTACAAAACTTGCCCCATAGCAACCGGCTTCGCAAGCTAGGAGAATTTCTCTGCAAAAACAAAGTTTGCCTACGGGTACCCTGAAAGAATCCATGGAAAAATTAATACAGTTCTATCAATATTTTCAACCTGAATGGATCTAGGAAAGAGGAGCAGCAACTGCAATGAATAAAGTTCAAGAATTTTTGACACCAAAGAGCTGCTATTTCTAATTTGCCTATATAACAAAATCCCATCACTCTGATATGATTTTTCTCAGCTAAACGCATCATAAGAGAGAAAAAGCAACTCACTTGCAAGAAATCTGCCGCTGTAAACTCCTTTATTCCAGCCATCAAAGAACAAATCTATAATCCTGAGAAAGGCAAAGAGAGGATAAAATTACTTAATACCCCAAATTCTAAATTTTTTTTCCCAGGAAAAGGAAAATAAAGCAGAAATCTTTTATTCAAACAAACAGAGAAAATTGAAAGTAACATTGGAGAACCATACCCTTTACTCTAGAGAAGTCAAGCAAGAGAAAGCAATGAACAAGAACCCTTTTTGTCTAAACCTATTACTTCAGGGTTTTAGGAAGTTTTACCGTGACTGGGAAATGAACTCCGGTGAAGATGTAACAAATTGTCCGGTCAATTCTTAACTTTCTGATCAGTGACAATTGGATCCTTAAAGGATAATCTATTATTCATTAAGACTTTTACTTTAATATGTCATATCAATTAAGTCCTATTGTATAATTTGGTAATTCCATTTCAATATTCTTTTATGCAGCACTTCTTACTTTCTATTGTATCAACAATATTGGATTCTTATTATTTTTTTAAAATTAATGTATAAAATAAAAGATAATAGAAAGAAAAAGTTATCACATGACAAATCCTATTTACATTTTTGTTTTTGGGTACATAGAGGAGTAATATTAATATTAATAAAAAGGGAGATACATCATCTAGCTCTAGGGTATTCAGAACCCATGAAGTCCAAAAATTGATGAAAATTCAAATTCAAGTATAAGGCTTAGATGGATACAAATGGTTGAGTGCGAGGATTCAATTGGTAGACACGATTATTTGAGCACTAGAACATTACAAGATAAGCTTTGGGCAGTCAAATTGAAAATGAAGTAAACGGGAAAAAAAGGAAAAAAATGTCTCTTGTTTCCCCAGCTCCCTCTGAACCCCCTCCGGCGGACCCAATCCCCCCCTCCCTTCCCCCACCGCCCAACATACTAGCCATCATTTCGCCCTCACCAGGACCAGATCCAGCCACACCTACAGTGGTGCCCTCCCAACCCAGCCCCAACCCAACGCTGGCGGTAAAATCCTTTCGGGATACATTGGTGGATGGAAATGCTTCCATCGAGCCTCCCCTCGTCACATATGAAGAATTGGTGGCTGCAAACCTGGAGCAAGAATCCTCAACCCCTATGGCAGAAGATGGGTCACATCCTTCCAAGCCAAAGATCCCCAAGGTTAGAATACCTAAATCAATCTGGCAGCGACTTTGTGCCCCCTGGAAAAATGCAGTAATTATCAAGCTCCTGGGGAAATCTGTCAACTTCCACAGTTTGCACTCACGATTATTGAAAGAATGGCGAACAGAAAGTGAATTCGAAGTCATTGATGTGGGTTTGGGCTATTATATTGTCAAATTTTCTTCCCCACAGGATTGGTGCTATGGTTTTAACAGGAGGGCCATATAAAATGTTTGATCATTATTTGGCCGTTCAACCTTGGGAACCAGGTTTTCATCCAGCAAGAGCAAAAGCCCCCAAGACAGCAGTGTGGGTTAAATTACATGGTGTTCCAATAGTTTGCTTTCATGAGGCTATTTGTCTTTATCTGGGCAGTAAAATTGGTAAACCGATCAAAGTTGATCCTACAACCCTCCTTGCTGCCAGAGGAAAATTTGCAAGAGTTTGCATTCAAGTTGACCTCAGCCAACCACTCCCATCATCCGTGGACCTAGACTTAGAGGAGTTACCTCAGTCTCTCATTCCGGTGGAATTTGAAGGCCTACATAAAATCTGTTTCCAGTGTGGGGAATTTGGGCACACAGAGAACTATTGTCGTTTTAAGAATCCTGGGAAGGCCTCTCCCGTTGGCAACCCCAGCTCAAAGGCTATGATCGAGTTAACTCAAACTTTAAAGCCAAATCAGGAAGAAAATGATATGACTTTTGGCCCGTGGATGGTTCAGCAAAGGAAGCCACGACGGCAGCAGCAGCCCCGCCGCTCAGTCGAGCCGTCAGCCGGCAAACCAACTATCTCCCGAAAAGTTCAGGATCCACATAAACCCATTACCAAAAACCAAGCGCAATCCTTGGCCCCTAAGATTATTGCCAATTCTGGTTCCCATGAATCCAGGAGCAATCGTTTTGCAGTGATGTCAGAGCTAATGGGGGAAGAGACAGATTTGCTAAATTCAAATATGGTGACTGAACCCTCACTGGCAGGAAGCTTGCCTCAGACTGAGGAGTCCACAGAACAAGCTAAGCCAATGGACATTAATATCCCAAGCCCTCCCCCTGCTCCATCAACGGATTTTGTCAAGCCTCAACACAAAAGAAGAAAGGCAAAATCTGGGGGCCCAATCCCTAAAGATTCTAAACCTACCATTCCCAAGCCTTACCAGCCCTCACAAGGCATTAACAAACAGAAAGAACCTTCCTCTCTATTGCCCACAATGGCAAAAATTAGGAGTAAAAAGGTGCCAGTGCCAAGATCTACCTCTCCAATGATTGAAGTACACCCCCAACACCACCCATTATCATTAGCACCTGCTCCAGACCAAAATCAAGCACCAGTGCTTGCCTCAGTTGACTCAGCCATCATGGTCAAAATTCATCCACCCCAGGCTGCGAACTCAGTGCAGCCGACTCTCACAACACCGTCTAATTAAATGAAGATTGTGACATGGAATAGTCGTGGTGTTAGGCATTCTCCCTTTAGGAGGGAATGTAAAGAATTACTTAAGATGCAGAAACCAGATATTATTTGCTTTCTGGAAACAAAGGCAGAGGCTGACTCACCAGATCTCCCCTTCATGTCGAGACTTGGTTACGATAAACAACACAGAGTTCATTCTCTGGGAAGAGCAGGTGGTTTATGGTTGTTTTGGAAATCCTCCTTAGTGGATTTAGAGGTGTTATCATCCAACAACCAAGCCATTCATGGCTTTGTTAAACAACAACGTCTTTCCTTCTTCATTACTTTTGCTTATGCTCAGCCACACACTGTAATGAAAAATGAGTTTTGGTCGTTCCTGCACGACTTAGCCTTATCTACTACTGAAAGTTGGGTGGTGATGGGAGACTTTAATGACATAGCTACTGTTGACGAAGCCTCACCTAGAGCAGTGCATAGATTCACTAGTGCTCGTCATTTTCGGGAACACCTAGAAGCTTGTCATCTACACTCTAAGGACTCGCTGGGGTGTAAGTTCACTTGGATACGCCAGACAAATGGTCGAGTTACCCTGCGGGAGAGGCTTGACAGGGCACTTTTCAATCTTGCTGGCCTTGAGGAATTCCCAGATGCAAAACTTATCAATTTACCAAGACTATGTAGTGATCACCATCCCATCATGTTAAACATTGATCCCCCTAATCGGATTTCAAGGGCCACAAAACCACCTAGATTTGAAGCCGCTTGGTTAACCCATGGGGGTTTTAAGGAGGTGTTCTGTCGTGCATGGATGACTCATGACCACTCACTCCCTTTGGCTATTAGTGCTGTTCGAACAGCTTGCTTCAGTTGGAACAAAACAGTGTTCGGGGATTTATTTCGAAGCAAGCGTCTTTTAAGAGCACGACTTAGGGGAATACAGAACTCCCCCCATTACAATCACTCCCTCTACCTTCAGAATTTGGAAATGGAACTGCTAGAGGAATATCACAAAGTGTTGCATGCAGAGGAACTATTTTGGTGTCAGAAATCACGGGTTGAATGGATTAATTCTGGTGATAGGAATACGCGATTCTACCATGCATCTACAGTGATAAGAAGAGCACAGAATCGAATCACGGCCTTGAAAGTAAATGATTCTTGGGTGACAGATCCAATCGCCTTGAAGAATCATGTCCAAGATTTTTTTGTGGATTTGTTTTCCCAAAAGGTGACTAGAGCTACTGACATTGACTACTCTTGCTTTCAGCCAAAAATGTCAGATGAAGATAGTGCTTCCTTGTTGCTTCCTATCTCCATGGAGGAAGTCAAATTAGCTCTCTTTTCCATGAAAGGTCTCAAAAGTCCTGGTCCTGATGGTATTCAACCGATCTTCTATTAGAAACATTGGGATATTGTTTCGGGTACGCTTCATTCCTTTATCAACAAGTCTTTTTCTGATGGTTTCTTTGAGCCCACTATGTTACAGGCCCATACTATTCTTATTCCTAAAGGGGAAAGCCCGGATGTGATACAGAAGTTTCGGCCGATTTGCTTGCTGAATGTAGCCTACAAAATCCTGTCCAAAGTAATTGTTAACAGATTACGTCCTCATTTACAGAACCTAATTGGCCCTGTACAGAGCAGTTTTCTCGCAGGTAGAAGTACAACGGATAACATCATTCTAGTTCAAGAGGCTATCCATTCTATGAGGCGACTAAAAGGGAAAAAAGGGGCCCTAGCATTCAAGATAGACCTCCATAAAGCCTTCGACAGTGTAGATTGGAACTACCTCAGGGAAGTATTGATTGATTTCAACCTGCCAGATCAATTAGTTCGATTGATCATGTTTTCAGTTACTTCATTGCAGCTTTCTGTCATTTGGAATGGAGAGGAATTACCTTACTTCCAGCCAAAGAGAGGTCTACGTCAAGGCGACCCCTTATCGCCGTACCTCTTCATTATGGTGATGGAGAAACTCTCCCATATGATTATGAGTCGATTGCAAGAACACAAATGGACTCCCTTCCGACTGTCACACGGGGGACTAACACTCTCACATTTGTTTTTTGCAGATGATCTCATGTTGTTTGGGAAAGCTTCAATCACTCAAATTGAAACTATTATAGATTGTCTCTCTGAATTTGCAAGACGATCAGGATTAGAGATAAACTTGGGCAAGTCTAAGTTATTTGTTTCTCCAAATATCCAGGGACAGTTAGCAAACTCCTTCAGTTCTGCTTGCGGCATCCCTTTAACGCATGATCTTGGCATTTACCTTGGGGTGCCTATTATCCATGGCAGGTTCAAGGCCAGCAACTACAAATATATTCTTGAAAAAATGCAGATTAAGCTTGCAGGGTGGAAACAGAAGTCCCTAAGTCTGGCGGGTAGGAGAACACTAGTGCAATCGGTAACCTCCTCGATACCAACCTATACCATGCAAACAGTTCTCCTTCCTAGCAGCACATGTTCAGCCATAGATTCCTTGAATCGCAAATTCCTCTGGGGTTCAGATATACAAACTAACAAACCACACCTTGTCCATTGGAATGATGTCTGTTTACCGAGGAGATATGGTGGACTGGGTGTGAGATCTGCCAAAGAGTGTAACAAGGCTTTGATTGCCAAGCTAGGTTGGCAAATACTTTCAGGGGGTGAGAAGCCATGGTGCCAAGCTATCAAGCATAAATACCTTCATTCAGCGAGTTTCTCTAGTTGCAAGCCCACGCCTTCTTCATCCATAACATGGCGAAGCATCTTAAAAACTAGAGAGGTTTTACAGCTGGGAACACGGTGGAGAGTAGGATCTGGCTGTAACATACAGCTTTGGAATGACATCTGGGTAGGTAACTCAACACTTCTAGAATCTACAATAGCCCCGGTCCCACAGCACCTACTTGGTATGAAGGTCTCTGATATCATTAGTAATTCAACATGGAATCTAATACAACTAACTGATCTTCTTCCAGAAAATATACTTCAACTTATAGCAGCCATTCCGTTATCAATATCTGGACACTTGAATGATCAAATTTATTGGAATGTTGCTTCATGTGGTGATTTCACAGTAAAATCAGCTTTTAGCCTTATTCAACAGTCTAGAATTCCTAATGCTCCTAGACCTGAGGACTAGACCTGGATTTGGCACTTAGGCTGCACCGAGAGAGTGAAGCTCTTCGTTTGGTTGCTTTGGAGAGGAAAAATTCTCACAAACTCCGTTCGCTTCGAGCGCCACATGGCTCCTACGCCGGTGTGCCCTCGCTGTGAGCAATCACCCGAAACCCCTCTACACCTCCTGAGAGACTGTTTCTACTCACGGCTAGTTTGGCAGTCGGCGAGTCTTCTACCTATTGACTTCTTTTCTCTGAACTTTGATTCTTGGTTGAAAAGGAATGCTATCACACCAAGGCAAAAGACCAACTCTCCGAACTTATGGCCATTTGTCTTTCTCGCAACCATCTGGCACTTGTGGAAGAGTAGGAATAAATTGGTGTTTGAAGGGCAACGGATCCCGCCACATCTTGTTGCTAACCAGGCTCACACCTTTGCTTTGGAATCAAGATTTGCCTTGGAATCAGTTAATCTGATTCATGACACTAGAACTCCCAAATGGGTCTCTTGGACCCCACCACCACATCCTTATCTTAAACTAAACACCGATGGATCCCACAATCATCACTCAGGCAAAGCAGCAGCTGGAGGACTCATTCGTGATCACAACGGGCGTTGGGTTCATGGCTTTGCTGTAAACATTGGTCCCACAACAAGTTTCTTGGCTGAGTTGTGGGGTTGCAAAGAAGGTCTCAAGCTTGCTCACTCTCTGGGGATACAGCAGTTGGTCTTAGAAATGGACTCTTTACTTGCAATACAACTCATTCAAAATCGACAAGTTTCAGCCGGACCAGCCTCAGTGCTTCTTACGGACATCTTCATGTTGATAGATTTCTTTAGCAGCTGCCTGGTACAACACACTCTCAGGGAGGGGAATTTAGCTGCGGATTTTATGGCATCCATGGGTCACGAATTAACTTTGG